TTTTTTTTTTGGCCTTCTCTATTTAATCGGCGCTTAAGTGCGAGATCTGACGCTTAGACGCCAAAACTCTTTTGCACAGTTTTCACCTTTTTGCTCCAAATTTGATCCTTTTTTTCTTCTTTAAGCATTTTTAATTCTTTTACGTGTATCTGCAAGAAAAACACAAAAATACCTTCCATTAAAGCGCAATATCTCAAAAATAGGTATAAAAATGTGTCTAAAAATACTATATATTTTAGGTGTATCAAAATCCCCCAAACTTAAACTGTTTCTTGTCCTCAAGTGACACTTCAATCTTTAAAAACTACATATGTACGATATGTATATGAGTTTCTTTAGAAGTTACTAAAATTTAGAGTTAGAAATATAGCAGTCTAATTTAGAAAAAATATTTGGTAAATGAGACCAACTTAAAGTTTAGAAATTCGCAATGTTAAGAAAGTTGAAAATATGAGTTTCTATCTAATTCAGAAATATATTATAGATTTTCCAAATTTAGAATATAGTTCTTTTATTATCTCCAATTAAAAATTTTCATTAAAAATAAGTTTACTTACTGTATTATATTTATAAGCTTAAGAGTTTCTCAAGTTTTATACTTTAAAAAGATCAAATGTAGAACCAATTTTTGCTTAGGCACTAATCCTTAAGCTTCTCCTTCCTATTTTTTTTTTCTCTTTTTCTTTTTCTTTTTCTTTTCTTTCTCTTTTTTCTTTTCTTTCTTTTTTTCTTTTCTTTTTCAGGCAAGAATTACTATATATGGTTTTTCAGACAAGAATTATTATATCTGGATAGGTCGTTAATGATTTTGAATTCCACTTCTCCTTTCCTAAAGCAAAGTCTTGATATAAGTCTTTTATCTTTAAATATAATAATAGTTTTGGAAATTATTTTAATAAAAGAAATTTAATTATTAAAAATAAAAGTCTAAATTATCTAAATTTTTCAAAAATACAATTTTTCTTACTAAAGATAGTTACTTATATTTATCATTTTCTCTTCTAAAAACTTTTTTAACTAAATGTTTTTCTTCATTACTAAAAATTTTAACTAAATTTTCTTACTTATTTCTAAAATCAAATTTTACTTCCCTAATATAACTTCATATACATAATAATTTTTTTCTTTTCAAATCAAATTCACTTGTAGCACATTTGAGAACAAACAAAATTCTAGTTTTGAAAATATTTTCATTCCCCCCAAACTTAAATTTTTAAAATATTAAACAGATTAGCATCAGATATATGTAAGCAGGCATGAAAATTTATAATTAAATTCTAACAGGAAAGTCTAACCTTAATGAAAAATACAGGGTAGCAGTTTCCTAAGTTTCAAATTTAAAACTAAGTTAGC